GTTTAGAGGGGGGTGGGGGGGGGGGGGGGGGGGGGCGTATTGTGATACGGACCAACTCTTGTGGATGTATATAGTGGAGCACTGGGATGCGGGGTCGGGGAGTGGGGGGGATCAGGCGGGGGGCCAGGAGTGAGTGTATGGAGGCGGAGAGAGGAGGGAACAATGGGGAGACACTTTGTGAGCGGTGGGAGCGACGAGATGGCGATCGGTGGTGGGGGACGGTTGGGCAGCTCTAACTATAGGAGCCTCTGTGATGTCATGGATTGGTCCTCGATGCGGATTGGGCAAGTGGGGCAGGGGGGAGTAGTTTTGTCTTACAGAGGTCGGTGTAGCATTGGCTAGGTGGATAACTATCTGGTAGTGGTGGGCGCTATTGTAAGCGGACCTAGACGTGGGCGGGCAGATTTGAGTCACATTCGGTGCCTTGGGATTATGGTACTACTCTAGGTCCGTCTGGATTAGAGAATATAGACGGGTGGAATGATAGAGTAGGTGTGTGACATTCATTTGGAGTAGATCACTATCAGAGACCTGAGTACCTTTCAAAACTTCTTCGTGAGAGTCTTGAGGTACTATATGTCTCATGATATTCGACTGGCGAACGGTGCGAGAGATCAGGGAGGCGGTAGGGAACGCGCGAGAGTGTGTGATCTCTAGTTAGTGTATTTTATATTATTATCGTTTAGTTACTGTATATATGAGAGGTATATGTCTGTTAGATTATGGTGATGTGCGAGGAGGATGTTGTCAGTGTAGTATGTGTCTCTTGCGTTGACTATGGGAGGGGAGTGTGTAGTCGGTGGGGCTTTTATGCGACTTCACTTAGTACGTGGGAGGAATCACGTGTGAAAGACTAGTTGGCTCGCGCGCACAGGTAGGAGTGAGACACTTGGGGGTGTGGGCGATGTGGGGTGTGAGCGTGGGTCACGTAGGGGTATGTCGTGGTGCGGAGCGGATAGGCGAATAGTCATGACTGTATATTTCGAGGTTTATTACTCTATCTGTGGCAATGCTCAGGTGGGTAAGGACAGAGTAGGCGATTTGCAGACAGAGGACTCTGAGATATATGTACAGAAATTTCTTAGGAGTGTGGGATCAAATACACGAAGAATCTAGGTACAAAGGTTCTGGTGTCAGGGTGATAGGAGAGACAGAGATGATTAGGGTCCAAATGTGCTGTCTGGCATAACGCATTGACGCGACTTTTGACTATTGCGGACGAGATCCCTTTGGCTAGGTGAGACTCTATAGGGAGTACACATTTATGCTAGGAGCACCTAGGGCAGTCTCTGTGAAGCAGATAAAAATAGTGTAGACTATCTACATCATACGCGAATAGCACACTGCAGAACAGCGAGATTCGCTGCTCAGGCATATACTGCGAACTTCTCAGTCAAGTAGTTCGTAAGTGTGCAATATAATAGCATCTAACAACGAGGATTTCTATACTCATGCTAGATCATTTAGAGAGTTCTTCACACTATGAATGAGGGGGGGTGTGGGTGGAAATTAGTGTTTATGTGACAGACAACTGAGCGAGATCACTACATGCGTGGATGATTATTTTGCATTCTCGAGCGCGAGTGTATTAATCAAGATGTCTGCTGAGAACGTCACTTATACATAGCGAGGGAGCGTATGTGCCATTGAGGCTCGAGATCTATATAGATCAACAGAGCATTAGTCACAGAGGCTGGTATTTGGACGGGGGGGGATGGGCATCTACAGCGCTAACGACACGAGATTCATAGGAGAAGAGTCATATCTTTGTCTTTCAGCGACTACACTCTTCTAGTTATACTTAAAGATCCTAAGTAGAACCAGAATACTTAGTTACATCGTGTTTATACATTCGGACGGATGCTTTTCTACTTCGAGAAGATAGATTTCATAAAGAGTTTCTTGTGCTGTACTCATCTTCATGCAACTCTAATCAACGGAGAAAATGACCAGGGAGCGAGAGCAGACAGACTATAGACATGACACTGCATCAACTGTACTGATGCGCGTGTAGTAACGTTATTCTCAGACAGACACAATTAACTATCAGCGTAACAGGTAGTCAGGAATGGCTTCTTTGTACAAGGCAAGTCGCGTAAACCCGAGAAGAGATACACTGTTAGATAGTCTTGAACGGGAACTAATATTCTCAAGACACATGTACATCTACCGAGAGACTTGAACGCTACATCTGACAGTACGTAGCGATTGTAATACGTACTTACTCGACATATAATTGTGAAAAACACAGCTGACATCGACACAATTCCACAAGCATAACACATACTATACTTCATCCGTGAGAGTTAGACTGCGCTGCGAGAACTCGTTAGTGTCTAATCCAGTGAAGCAGCTGTTGCACCATCAAACATCTAGCTAACAGGTCACACTCCATTCAACAGCAAGTATCATACAAATCATGCTTGACACACGCTTACGTCACTCGCGTTATCAGGCAGGAAACAGTCTGCGTGCTTGTGAATATGCTTGCAGCAATAGCACAAAATAGAGTTCATTACTACAGCAGTGCTACGCTTGGATAAACACAGCCTAGCTAAGGTAAGTCTCACTTAGCGTAACGGTGTATCGCGGGACATTATGGAACTAATAAGCGCCTATGTCTGCAGTTGATATATATATGAGAGGTCCCTGATCAACCGCATAAAGGACTCACGCAAATATCATCTTAGTCGCAGCTCATGTTCTATCAGGGAACATGATTACACCAGATTTAACTATATGCTACATCTTATTCATGCACAATGTGTATAGCCTAGATCACGAGAATATCTAGAACCAGAACAATCTCTCTATCAGTACCTAAACTCTTAGGTGCTGCTAATGAAACATGAGCAATAATCTCTCTCTCAGAAATCATTCATTTCGACGTACACCAGAGAGCACTAGAGGATAACGAGTTCCATACCTCGTCCACTTATCGGAGTCGAGGTACATTAATCTCACTACAGCAAGAAAACTATCTGACAAAACTGCGACACAACAGCAAACGTAACTACCACAACAAGCACGATAAAATACATGCAAATAGAGCGTGGTACTAACTGGGTACAAGTTACTTGCTTATCAAAATACTGAACGAGCTAGCGAGAATACGGCGATTCTACTCAGAGACAAGCGCGATGGCTTGAGTCAACCGACATAGATATCGAATATATTCTCTACCAATTCTAACAATCTGAGGACAAGGGCGTATCTGAGCAATGACATGTCAAGCTATCGCAAGCGAGGTACGTATGAAAGAGGAGCCTAGCTCACACAAAACAGTACGACGCATAGATCCAAACAACTGGCGTCCGAAGTGAAAGGCAGATGCACCTCACACAGGATCTACCCGACAGCTCTGGAAATCGCGCTATTTGTGATCTCAGCGTTGGTCTTCTGCGAGCGACACTCGACTCGATCGTGAGTCATAAGCGGACTGGAATAGACACAAAACTTCAGCGAGCTACTCGCGAGAGGAGTCTGACGATCACTCTATATTCAGACGGTAGTCTCCACGTGACACCAACTCATAGTCACAACACGCGATGGAGATTGCACTACAGTGAGAAACGTATCTACTAACACGGTCTAGCCAAATATCAGACACACAACGCGACTGTCCAGAGACAGCACAGGCGTCATGCTACAACGCTAGACTGCCACAGCACCAGCAGCGTTGCACAAGTACCTGATCGTCACGACAAAGCTACACATCTAAATGGCGATATTTCCCTGCGATCTAGCTGCACACACGTTAAATTGCAACATTGCAATAAACTTGAGGGCCGACTATCTAGCGCAATTCTCGACCTTCGCGTGTACACATTATACATCTCTAGCTACATGTCACTCTGACTAGCCACTATCATAGAACATAGTGCTATTGCTCTGTCTGATCAGTTTACGCACGAGTGCCTGTAGCTCTTACACAATTCGCGTACAAAATAGCGCGACGCAAGATGTCCAGCTAGGTCAAATCACAGATGCTGCCCGTTTGTACTACGACCACTCTAACTCGCCTCAGTGATCTACAAATAATCGGAAACACGATCCACTTATTGTTGCGTACAAACAAGTGTGCAGGTGACACACCAACATTGCTACGAAGAGACACACAACTGGAGTACAACGCGCTAGTCGGGGCCCTCCCTAAACGAGAGAATACATGAGATCTCTCTCAGAAAGCGCAACGCCGAGCAATGACGAACACGCAAGTCTACAACTAAAGCGAATTAGCGCACATGCGCGAAGATATTCGATCTATCTTAACTAGAGGACGTGCAGATGAAATGGTGTACAGACATAAGAGAGAGTATGAGTACTGCTTATCTATCATAGAGCTCATGACTTATATAAGACGTGCTCACGAAACAATATCCATGCGTAAGTTCACATCTGCGCAGACTAGCGTCTTAAAGTCCCGTGACCTACGCCAGTACACATATAGATAAAGATTCAATCACTACATCATAGCTAGACCGCAAAGAACAACCCTCCGAAGCGCATGACACTTCGAAAGTGCGCCAAAGAGACAACAAAAACTCTGAGGCTAAACACATATTTCTATCCCAGACTGACGCGTGCGCTACCTATATTACGAATAATATGCCAATAGCACACTCCTAATCACAGTAATTACATTGCACAAGCCGCCTAGAGTCTGCTAAGCTACATGAGCTTTCAATTTCATAGCGAGTCCTATCAACACAACTTACATGTCAGGCGAGTACTCTCTCTACGTTGCTCTTGCTCATCTGAATTATGAATCACGCCGTATCATGGAGCCGTTGTCCTCTGCCTGTCCACTCGAGTTGCATTCGCGTAAATAGAATGGCGTCTATGCCTGACTCCGCTCATAGTCTCACATGACGGATCGGCGACGAATAGGATCTGATTACAAGAGAGTGTATCATGAGATTGACGTTAGTAAGCGGATCTTCAATGTGCGTCTATAGAGTAGTATTAACACAGGATAGTGTGCTAACATTAACAGACTAATCTCACATCTGCGAAGATTGACTTGTACATGCAATGTGATAGGGGGGCCGAAAATTATCATTATAAAGTGAAGATGAAGGGAGTTGTGATGGATGAGTTTGGTGGAAGGGGGGAAAGTGGGTGTATTTATGG